ATTATACCTTCCCACCAGCAGCTTAGGAGGGATTGATTTTCTTACACCCTCACCAGTACTTGTTATTGTCTTTCTGTTTATTTATAACTATCCTAGGGGACATGAAGTGTTATTGTGATTTTGATTTGCATTTCCCTCATGACTAATGTTGCTGGGCATCTTTTCACGTGCTTTTTGGCTATTGGCATATACTTTTTGGAGAATTGTCTCTTCACATCTTTTGCTTGTTTTTAACTTGGGCTATTTGTTTTTTATTGTCAGATTGTAGGAATTCTTTATACATAATGGATGCTAGTTTCTCATTAGATATTAGATTTACAAATTTTTCTCCCAGTTTGTGAGTTGCTGGCTTTAGATTTTACAAAGCGTTTCACATCTCTTAACTTCTAAATCTCACAATAGCTAGGCATAAATTTAGGCTCAAAGAGGTTAAATAATGTGTGTAGAATCAGAAGTTTGTTCATATGTGAATTCAATAAACTTTTACTGAGAGCCTACAAAGTTGACTGTTGCTAGGCTAGAAAGAAGATCAAGTGTCTAGAATTTGATTTCCATTTCAGTTTATTTTAATTTTTAAGTTTAATGTTTAATTTTATTTTAAAAATAAAAATAAAATAAAAATGTCACCCAGGCTGGAGTGCAATGGTGAGATCTTGGCTCACTGCAACCTCTGCCTCCTGGGTTCAAGTGATTCTCTTGCCTCAGCCTCCTGAGTAGCTGGGATTACAGGTGTGTGCCACCCTGCCTGGCCGATTTTTTTACATTTTTAGTAGAGACGGGGTTTCACCATCTTGGCCAAGTTGATCTTGAACTCCTGACCAACCTCAGGTGATCCTTATGCCTTGGCTTCCCAAAATGCCAGGATTACAGGCTGAGCCACCATGCCTGGCCTCCATTTCAGTTTAAAACCTCAAATGGAACCCCACTGGGATGAGAGAAAGTGAGGGGAAAGAAGAGAAAAGGAGAGAAGAAAGAGGAGAGGAAACCAAGTTGCATGTCTTTTGCTTGTGTGTACTGCTTGGGAATCTCTTCGTTTTGTATACCCATCTTCACTTAAGGCTCCAAATATGAAAACATGAAACACTTATTTTAGAATTCAATCCTTACTTAAGCTGAACATAACCCATACTCCCTGGTCTCCTTCTGTTAAATTACTTAGCCATCACTCTCTTTGGTTTCACTGTGGTGGATCACAGAGCAAGGACTGGAAGGCCCATTCTGAGGTCTCCACTTTACATCTGAGCCAGCATGAGAGTGGGTCCTCTCCATAGGGGCAGACTCTTGTTAACAAAGACTGATAATAAAGTCATATTGTCAATTTGTTAAATTACAATGAAAAATACAGTTTGACATTTAGTTAGTAGTATATTCGCCCTTTCTAGGCAAGTAGTTCATGACATTGGCTGCACAATGGGGTCACTTGGTGTATTAGTCTGTTTTCACACTGCTGATAAGGACATACCTGAGACCGGGCATTTACAAAAGAAAGAAGTTTAATGGACTTGCAGTTCCACATGGCTGGGGAAGCCTCACAATCGTGGCAGAAGGCAAGGAGGAGCAATTCACATCTTACGTGGATGGCGGCAGACAAGAGAAGAGAGCTTGTGCAGGGAATCTCCCCCTTATAAAACCATCAGATCTCGTAAGACTTATTCACTATCACGAGAGCAGCACAGGAAAGACCTGCCACCATGATTCGACTATCTCCCACTCCGTCCCTCCCACAACAGGTGGGAATTCAAGATAAGATTTGGGTGGGGACACTGCCAAACCGTATCACTTGGGCAGCTTGACCAACTCCCAATTCCTAGGCTTGATTCTGGAACAATGAAATGAGGATCTCCAAGGATGGGGCCCAGGTGTCAATGTTCTTTTAAAGCTTCCCAGGTGATCTCAATGTGAATGCAAGGTTGTGAACCACTGCTTCTGGAATACCTGCACCCTGAGAAGGTATAATCAGTAGTGTGTAGAATCAGAAGGCAATTCGTTTGTAAATTTAATACACTTCTATGGAGAGCCTACAAAGTTGATTGTTGGTAGGCTGGAAAGAAGTAATTAAATTGTAATCAAATAGACATGGAGTTAGAGTTCATCATTTAGTCCACAAATATTTATAAATATTATGTGCTAGGTGCTGGGATAAACATAAGTCGATACAGTTTGGTGGTTATCAAAATGGGCTTTAGAATGAAATTTCAGGTCCTGGCCCCACTGTTTACTAGTGTGTGACTTTATTTCTCTGAGCTTGAATTTCTCTGCTGGTAAAATGGGGATGCTAACAATAGTGCCTACTTCAGAGACTTGCTTGAGAATTATGTCAAATGATGCGGTGTTTCCAAAATTTCAAGATTTGTTCTAAAGCTATACCCATGTGCAACCTGTACTACTGATTACTTAATATTTCATTTACTGGCTCATTTTTTCTTCTTAAATATTTCCTTTGGTCTCACTCCAAGTGGTATCATCTATAAAATACTTGGTTTGATGGGCTAGCTATAGTTTTTCCTAACACATAGTAAAATATATAATTTAACAAATAAGTGACTTTTGTTTGCCACCTGAAAGTGTTGCTCATATCAGTTGTGGGAACACATCTTTGGGAAACAAGGAATATCTGGGATATTTGCATCTGAGCCAGCATGAGAGTGGCTCCTTTCCATAGAGGCAGATGCTAATAATAGTGCCTACTTCAGGGGCTATTGAAGGAATATGGTTCGCACCTAGAAAGCTCTCAGCTCACTCAGCTGATGATAATTTTTTTTTTTTTTTTTTTTAAAGACAGAGTCCCACTCTCTCACCCAGACTGGAGTGCAGTGGTGAGCGACATCTCGGCTCACTGCAACCTCCACCTCTCAGGTTCAAGTGATTCTCCTGTCTTACCCTCCTGAGTAGCTGGGATTACAGGTGTTTGCCACCATGCCAGAATAATTTTTGTATTTTTAGTAGAGATGGGGTTTCATCACATTGGCCAGGCTGGTCTCAAATTTCTGACCTCAAGTGATCCGCCCACCTTGGCCTCCCAAAATGTTGGGATTACAGGCACAAGCCATTGGGTCCGGTCAGTTATTTTCTTTATATAGAAGTTTCTGGGCTGGGTGCAGTAGCTCACACCTTAATCCCAGCACTTTGGGAGGTTGGACAGGATGATTGCTTGAGTCCAGGAGTTTGAGATCAGCTTGGGCAACACAGGGAGACTCCATCTCTACAAAAAAAAAAAAAAAAAAAATTAGCCAGGCATGGTGGTACATGCCTGTGGTTCCAGCTACTGGGAGGGCTGAGGTGGGATGATCACTTGAGCCTGGAGAGGTGGAAGCTGCAGTAAGTCGTGATTGTGCCACTGAACTCCAGCCTGGGTGACAGAGTGAGATTCTGTCTAAGAGAAAAAAAAAAAAAAAGAGGTGCTTGATAAATAGTAGCTATCCATTATTGGCCCCGGGAACAAGAAGTAAGTTATGTTTAGGGAAGGAAAACAAACAAACAAATGTGTACTAAGCAAGCCTGTAGCTTTAATCAAGTGCTGGTGTGTGTGTGTGTGTGTGTGTGTGTGTGTGAGTTGTGAGAGAACACATCTCCAGTTCTATCTACTGTAGAATTAGGAGCGTACGAAAAAGACTTTACATTTATAAACAGAACATACACATACACACATGTGTGCACAATTATACACACAATTTAATCATTATAAAACCACATCCATATTGTTGCTACCTAGGTTAAGAAATAGATCATAGCAGCACCCCAACACGCTGAAAGGCCTCCATCAGGTAACTACTATTCTGACTTTTGCTTTCTTTATGGGTTTGCCATTACTTTTAAAAATGGCAAAAACCTCAATGATTTGCATCAACCTAAATACATCCCTCCTTAAACTACGTTGTTTTGTTTTGTCCGCTTTTGGAATTTATATGAATGGAATCATATGTCATTGTCTTGCTTCCTTCATTAGGCCTTGTTTTGAGACTCATTATGCCATTGTGGTTAGTTGCAGTTTATTCTTGTTCATTGTTTATGAAAACACTGCAATATACAATTTTGTCTTTTCTACTGCTGATAGACATTTATGTCGCTTCCAGTTTTTTGCCAACACTATTTTGTATTCTTATACACATCTCTTGGTGTACATAAGTAGGAGTTTCTCGCTGGGAGCGGTGGCTAAGGCCTGTAATCTCAGCACTTTGGGAGGCAGAGGTGGGCGGATCACTTGAGGTCAGGAGTTCAAGACCAGCCTGGCCAACATGGTGAAACCCCATCTTTACTAAAAATACAAACAATTGGGCATGGTGGTGTGCACCTGTAATCCCAGTTACTTGGAAGGGTGAGACAAGAGAATAGCTTGAACCTGGGAGGCGGAGGTTGCAGTGAGGCGAGATCGTGCCATTGCACTCCAGCCTGGGAGACAGAGCAACACTTCGCCTCAAAATAAATAAATAAATAAATAGGAGTTTTTCTTAGGTAGAGAAACTACTCCTAGCAATAGTCATAGAATGCACAAATCTTCAATGTTAGCAAATAGTGCCATACTTTTTTTTAAATTTCAGAGATTGTGTCCATTTACACGTCTACGGGTACTGTATAAATGTGTGTACCTCCACATCTTCGCAAACACTGTCACATCCTTTTTTTGTTGTTGTTCTCGAATTTGAGTGTTATTGTTTCTCATTGTGACTTTATTTTTCATTTTTTCTGATTATGAACGAGGTTGACACCTTTCATACATTTGTTGGTCATCTGGATTTCCGTTTTGGTGACGTGCCTGTTTTAAGTATCTCTTCTATAATTTATTTTAAAGTGTCCTTTCAGACAGCCTCAATGACTTTCATCAACTCCTTGCAGGGCAGTCAGCCGGGAGATAGAGTAATCAAGGTAGGTTGAAGTCAACCTCAAAACATTCGCCGCCTCAGCTGTAGCAGAGAACCATTGGGTTTCCCCAGGTGACAAGTACTTCTACCTTAGCCGCGTGAGAGAGAAAGAAGACCAGGCTGAGTAGCCTGGCTGCCTACCTCCTCGCGGGTGGCCGAGAGCAGGGGACAGCACCCAGGCGACTTCCTCAGGGATCCTAGATAAACAGTCGCGTCCCCAAACGCAGCATCCGGCTTAACCGCCAATTTCAAACTTCCAAGACCTGCCCAGCCGACTTTGCCCTTCCCTTTATCCCATTGGTCGCGAGTCAAAGGAAGATGCAATTTGATTGGCTCTCCTTTTCACTTTCTCCATCACTTTAAAGACGTGGGCGGGGCCTGGCTGAGAAGCCCATGTCTATCATAGGAACGGGCACGCTGATTGGTCCAGACACGGCCGAGACCCGCCCGCGCCGTTCCTCTGGTTCAAACGCGGCGGCGGGAGGCGCGGGGCGGAGCAGATCGCAGACCAGCCGGGTCCGCAGAGCGTGAGTCTGAGCCCCTAGACCCAATTCTACCGCACCCTGCTCCGCAAGGCCAGGGGAAGGCCGCCTCCACCCACGCCAGTCCCGGCTTTCCCTCCCGCCGCGGGGAGGGCGGTGCTTCCACCCCTAGGGCTGCGGGAGGCCTGGAGGGTCTTCCCAGGCTGGCTGTGCGCGCGCGCACCCTCCTCAGGAGCCGAGGGGTCTGCCGGGTGGTGCCGGGGCGGGAGGCTTGCTCCTCCCCTAAACCAGGAGGAGCCCTTCGTCTCTTCAGCTCTGCCTCCTGTCAGCACTAACTGCTTTATTCTGCCCAGTGTAGTCAGCCAGTTCCTTATTATCTGCGTGATAGCAATTTTCTTAACCTCTCTGTTTCAGTGTCTTCATACCTCGTGCCCATCCCACCACCTCCTGATGCCCCCGCCTCTTTCGCTCTGCTCCATTCCCTCTGGCCTCCCTGTTATTGTTGGAGAGGCCAGGTCCTGCCTCAGTGCTTTTGGCTTGGCTGTTTCCTTTGCCACGGATATCTTTCTTTCCCCAGATATCAACATGGCTTGCTGGTCACCCGCTTCAGGTCTTCAAGTCTTGGGTCAAATGGTGTCTTCTGTGAAGTCTGACTTGACCACACTAAAGATTGCACCGTCTCACCCCCATTGCCCTTATCTTACTTGGTTTTGTTTTTACCTCATAGCACTTAACACCTTCCAACAAACTATATATAGTTTGCTTATTTCAGTCATTCATTTAATAACTACTTATTCACACCTATTTATGTGCCAGGCTATGTGTGCCCCCACTGCGTGGGGGCAAAAATCTCTGCCCTTGTGGAGCTTCCATTCTAAGGGGGGAGATAATAGACACATTGATAAGTAAGAGAGTATGTCAGATAAGTGTATCACCTCCTGTTACGGTGAGTTAAAATCTGGTGTTTAATCTCCATGATTAGACTGAGCTTCCTAAAACTGGAGTGGTAGCTAATTTTCATCTCCTTGTCCCTGATACCTTGAGGGAGATCAGGATCTCTCAAGCCCTTCCTGCTCAAAACATAGGACATACTTGACTTTTCTGATATCCTTTCAGCACCAGTGGGGAGATGTTGAAGTTCAAATATGGAGCGCGGAATCCTTTGGATGCTGGTGCTGCTGAACCCATTGCCAGCCGGGCCTCCAGGCTGAATCTATTCTTCCAGGTAACAGGCTACCCTGCCAACTTTGCTCACCTGTGTGTTTCCTTGGAATCTCCTTGTCACTCACCTTTGCTTTTATTTTATTTATTTATTTAGAGTCTCACTCTGTCGCTCAGGCTGGAGTACAGTGGGGCAATCTCAGCTCACTGCAACCTCTGCCTCCTGGGTTCAAGCGATTCTCCTGCCTCCGCCTCCAGAGTAGCTGGGACTATAGGCGCCTGCCACCACACCCGACTAAGTTTTGTATTTTTTTTTTTTTTTAGTAGAGACGGGTTTCACCATGTTGGCCAGGCTGGAGTCAAACTCCTGACCTCAAGTGATCCTCCTGCCTTGGCCTCCCAAAGTGCTGGGATTACAGGCATGAAATGCGCCAGGCTTGCTTTCATTATAGGACCAAGGATAATATTTTAGGAGAAATTCTGTTTTGTTTTGCTTGAAACAAGGTCTTCTGTCGACTCTAGGCCTGTGCCACCATGCCCAACTAATTTTTAAATTTTTTGTAGGGATGGGGTCTCACTATGTTGCCCAGGCTGATATTGAACACCTGACTTCAAGTGAGGCCTGCCTTGGCCTCCCAAAGCAGTGGGGTTATAGGTGTGAGCCACTGCACTGGCCTTCTATTTGGAGTTTTATATGCACTGATTATTTTGGAAAAAGGACACTGCAGAAGTAGATAGCTGAACTTGCCTTAGGAGGGAGATCCTTTCATATTTCTCACACTTTACACTTCTGTACTAAAGTTCATTAATTGATTGATTGACAGGGTCTTGCTCTGTGGCTCAGGCTGGAGTGCGTTGGCACAATCACGGCTCACTGTAGCCTTGACCCCCCGGGCTCAAGCGATCCTCCCACTTCAGCTTTCCAAGTAGCTGGGACCACAGGTGTGTGCCACCACACCTGGCTAATTTTTGTATTTTTTGTAGAGGTGAGGTTTCACCATGTTGCCCAGGCAGGTCTCGAATTCCTAGGCTCAAGTGATCCACCTGTCGCAGCCTCTGAAAGTGTTGGGCTTACAGGCGTAAGTCACTGCACCAGGGTGAGTTTGCCCTTTTATTGGAGAAAGAAAAATAAATGAACAAAGATGCTTTTTAAAACTACAATTTCTGTGGGTATCATCCTATTCATTTTCATTGCAGGGATGTTTATTTTTTAAGATTTAAAAAAAAGTTTTGATGAATATCACACCTGTTTAACCCTCATTCCTCTCAAGATAACACATTTCCATCACCCCAGATGTGTTAAAACTTAATGTCATAAGATTACTTCCAAATAGATTTTTAATTCTTTTGTTTCTGATGTATATAGAACACTGGTGAAGTAGAAATCCTTGTTTGATTTATGTATTCATAAGTCAGGGGGACAATAGAGACTGTGAAGATTTAGAATTGAATCCCAGTCCCAGCACTAGTTAGCTGTGTTACTCTGGGTGAGTCAGTTACCTTTTCTGAGTCCATTTGCTGTTCTTTAAAATAGGTTGTAGCCTGTAATCCCAGTATTTTGAGAGGCTGAGGTGGGTGGATTACTTGAGGTCACGAGTTTGAGACCAGCCTGGCCAACATAGTGAAACCCCATCTCTACTAAAAATATAGAAAATTAGCTGGGCGTGGTGGTGGCATGCACCTGTAATCCCAGCTACTTGAAAGGCTGAAGCAGGAGAATCGTTTGGACCCGGGAGGCGGAGGTTGCAGTGAGCTGAGATCGTGCCACTGCACTCCAGCCTGGGCAGCAGAGTGGGTGAGACTCCATCTCAAAATAAAACAAAAAAATAACGTAGAGGTTGTAGTACCTAATCCACAGGGTTGTTGTGAGGATTAAATGAGATATTACATATAAAGCATTTAGCACCTTGCCTGGCTGTTAGTAAACCCCTTATAAAAAATGGTAAGTATTGTTAATACTCAGCATAGAATAGTATTAGTTATAATATTAATACTAAATTTCTGTATCCTTAATAGGAATTATGTTTAGGAAGGTAGTTATGTAGGATACCTGTAAGATGATGAACAATGAAGTATTCTTGATAACTTTTTGTTTTTTCCAAAATATTAGTATTGGGTGTTTAAACAGATCAGAGTGGAAACAAATTGAAAGCTTAGGTTGTTCTGTGGGACCATCGCCATCAGCATTTTAAGTCTTGACATATTTTTTACAAATGAATAGTCTGTCTTTAGCCTTAGATGGCTGGAGTGCTGCTACTTTTCAGCCCCTTTATCATGCTACTTCAAAATATCTCTAACTTGCTGGGCGTAGTGGCTCACGCCTGTAATCCTTGCACTTTGGGAGGCTGAGGCGGGCGGATTGCTTGAGGTCAGGAGTTTGAGACTAGCCTGGGCAACATGGTGAGACCCCTTCTCTACTAAAAACACAAAAAATAGTTGACTGTGGTGGCGGGTTCCTGTAGTCCCAGCTACTTGGGAGGCTGAGGTGGGAGGATTGCTTGAGCCCTGGAAGCAGAGGTTGCAGTGAGTTAAGATCGTGCCATTGTACTTCAGCTTGGGCGACAGAGCAAGACCTTGTATCTTAAAAAAAAAAAAAAAGAAAAAAACATTTCCACCTTACTTATTAAGGGCTTATAATGTGCTGAGTATGTAATAGTTATGGCTTCCAATGTGTCTGGTATAGAACTGGCATGTTTCTGAGTATTCCACTTCAGCCTCGTAACAGAGGTAAGGACTATTTTTATTTAAACTTTAAATAAAAAGTTTTTATTTAGGAGACAACAGGCCAGGTGTGGTGGCTCACACCTGTAATCCCAGTACTTCAGGAGGCTGAGGCAGGTGGATTGCTTGAATCCAAGAGTTCAAGACTAGCCTGGGCAAAATAGTGAAACCCCATCTCTACAAAAAATATAAATAATTAGCCAGGCATGGTGGTGTGTGCCTGTAGTCCCAGCTACTCAGGAGGCTGAGATGGGGGCATAGCTGGGGCCCCGGAGGCAGAGGTTGCAGTGAGCTGAGATTGTGACACTGCACTCCAGCCTGGGTGACAGAACGAGGCCCTGTTTCTAAATAAATACATAAATAGGAAGCAACAGATATAGACATATATGGAGGTAGACAAGGCCTTGCCCAAGATCATACACGTTGAGCTTTGCAGATGGAGCCAAGATCAGACTCCATCTTTGGTTGGTCCGACTCCAAAGGCTGACCACATAGCCATTGGGCCATACCGTCTGTGCACGTCAGAGTTTATTAAGTATGTCTTGTATTTTGTCATTATAACAGGAAGAATTATAGGTAAACCCTCAGTTCATCTCTTTTTAATGCTGAGTTCCCCCCACCCAGTAAAGCTATTATTATTGCAAGTGTATTATATACCTGTCATTTGCCTTGAGTGATCAGGTAAGGATGCTGTTTGTTCTTTTCCCATATAGTGCTATTTGAATGAGATTGAGATACAGTAGCAATTTTGTTTCCCATTCAGGTGAGTACTTTACACTGAGTGTCATTTTGTCTTTTTTACTTCTACTCAACAGGATTTCCTAACATGTTCGAGGTCAGTGATTGTCAGACTTTTAGAGCCAGCAAAATTTCCCAAATTGCTGGGTAGACACAGGTTTTCTTATTTTGCCAAGTAAGGATATTAAAAAAAAAAATAATAAAAAGAAAAACCTATTATTTTCTTGCCCTTTTATTTCATAAAGGGCATTTTAAGAAACAACAAGACAGGAAGAACA